CATCACTTCTGACATTTTGAAATCCCCTTAAGACCTGGCTATATAATTAGGCCTGGGACTCTCAGGGAACCAGAAACATGCTCAAATGCCAACTTTTATTCTTCCTTTGACAAGGGTTTGAATTTGTTTTAATAATACTTATTTTTTAATCTGAATTATTTCTTGTTTTTAATACTTATTGATTGTTGTATGCTACCTACAGTTGTATTTTCTGAAATGGGCAGCTATACAAATGAAAATAAAAAAAAATAAAAAATACATCCAACTGAAATTTAAAAAGTCCCACCCAAAAGATATTATAATTTGTATACCATAGCCTGCAACAAATGATTCTATATGATGAGATGTAAATTAGGGATAATCAATCAATATACAATCCCCAAAGTATAGCTGTCTTAATTGTGGGCTACTCTAATGCCTGCTACCCAGAGCATGGTGAAGTATGGCTACTGCCTCATTCTGATTGAGTACAGAAGAAGTACTTGATCGTAAATGATCATATGGGATGATGAATCTCTACAAATTTCTTGGTTACTACCTTGTGTAAGTTTTAAGTAACAGATGCAATAATATACCTTTACAAACTAGTTGCCTAATATTGATATATTGAAACATATTATTCCCAAAGCATCTCATATGAAGTCATATTTATACCTATCAGGATGGCATGCTTCAACTAAATGAGAAGCGTGTAATATATTTCACGCTATGGGCTACAGATAACTTTCAAGAAGAGTGCAGTGGCTTGAAATCTGAAAGATCACGAAGCAAAGAGAAAAGTATAATGTAATTATAAATTAATTGGTATTTAATTAGTTAATAATTCTTTTCTACTTCTTTAATCATATTCCCTTTCTATCATATTCAAATTGTAATTCAGTGACAATTTGATTCTAAGTCCAGAAATTGTACATATCTATGCCAAAAAAAGGAAAAATTTTGTTGCTCAGGTAAACATTTTGTTAAACTTATTCTTTTCTATACCTTGTAGTAGCAAAGATAAGCTTCAAAATATACACACAAATGCTTCAAAGAAAGTTGATGGTTTCCAATTAATCAAGGCAGGTATCTTTAACATAAATGCCTTCACGTCATCCATAATGGAAATAGAGCAAACAATCTATTTAAAACAGCAAAACCAGGTTTTAGCCAAATACATGCACTCACTTCAAATTAACTGCTCTTTCAGTTCTTACTTTTTTATGTACAATTAACAGCAACATATCAGAGGTTTCTTTGCAGAAATGTTGTAGATACAAAAAAGGCTCTTAGGCAAGATTACTTTTTCCCTTAACTAAAGTTCTATTTTGCAAGCTTTTAAAATATTTTTTTATTTTAGAACAGAAGGTGAGTTTTTTTTAAAGGATTGCCACATGTAATTTTACGTTTTCTAATTGAATGGTGTATTTGATTTTCACAATTTTTAAAGCATACAATATTCCAAATCTACAAATAGTTGCTGAAACAATTTGTCTCTTTGAAAAATAGAATATTTGCAATCCTTTGCTGAAATGTGATATTAGGGAGAAATCAACAACTATGCAACCGCTTATATACATCTTAGAATTATATTTCTCAAATATCTAATCCCCAACCCCCAGTCCATGGCATAACACTAATGCAAACAAGTGAAGCCCCATCTGCAGGATGGAGACAATACACAAAACCCACATCCCCTCCAGTCCACAGAAAAACCTTTCTCCATGGAACCAGTCCCTGGTACCCAAAAGGTTGGAGGCCACTGCCCTATGTCACACTGCAACATATTTTTGATACTATAGACTTCTACTAATTCAAAGTAAATTTCTTATTCCAGTTCTTAAGCATACTTAAACTAATGTAATACTTTCAATTGCAGCAAAAATGCATGAAACTTAATTACGTAGTAGACACAAAACTATTATGAAAGGCTTGTTTTGAAATGTTAAAATTACTGGAAATTAGCTAGTCATACTCCTTTGTTAAAGTATCAAAACAGGAATTTTACAATTTTCTTACTTCTTTTAACAAACTCACAACAAATTGTTTTAGCAATTATTTAACACTGCAGAATTATTTTTTGGCCAGGTACCAGCGGCTAATACCCAAACGATGTATAGTAGTCTTGAATGCATAATTCAGTATATGAGAACAAATACATATTTCTTTCACAAAACCACATAATACTGACAAATGTTTGTTTTTTAATACATTAAACAGTTATACAATCACACATCTTTTAGCAACATCAGTCACTTTTACAAAAATAATCTTAAAGTAGTAGCCCTGATATCTATTTCCTATCTTTTTAAAGAGAGAGAAAGATGAATCCAAGTTGCTAGATCTCAAATCCCATGCCCATTCTCAACCCAGCAATCAAATTTTGTAATCTCTAAATTATTGGCTTAGCAGTATATTGATATAGGCCCAGAATATAAATTAGGCACAGAAATGGCATACACAATTTTAGAAGACCCTTCTTACCCTAATCACATTCTTGGCATACATTACATGTTTAGAACTTAGAATCTGCCAGGGACCATTTTAGTAACTATAGATCTTGGACTGCCATTAAATCCTAAGCACCAACTGTTTTTCAATCCTGGTGTGCATCACAAACAATGTTGTTCCTATTGATTAAAAAAAGGAGACTGGAGCCAGGAATATCTAGCCAAACTTAATATTAGCCCAATGGTAATGTGATGTGGGATATTTGTAAAGACCACTCAGCCAAATTAATTTCTGAACTACAGTCAAGCAAATTTAATAGTACTAATGCTCAATAAGCATGTCTAATGGTGCACATAGATGATTTACTACATTTCTCACTTTGATCAAAGTTATAGCTTTTCTCAATCTAGCATCATTTATATATAATAGGATTATAGTTCTTTGGAGTTTCAACTAGCAATATCATCGCACACATAAAGAACATCAGCCTGCAGCAGAATGCATTTATAATAAAGCTTACAAAGCCTTTCCAAAAAAGATTTGTGTATTAAATGTCCCTATGTAATCTCAGCTTTCAGTCAATTTCATATGGTCCCTTGAAAGCACATTAAATATTCCTGTGCCTTACTCTACAGGAACTATAACTTTATCCCTACACTGTAATGTCCCAAGTAATGTCTTGAAGAAGCTTCTTGGATGAGAAGCGAAACATCTTCAAAGAAAAACAAGGAAGTTCAATTGCCTCTTGAAAAAGCACCTTTGTGACAACTGTGACCTGGATGACTGAGAATCTCCATAGACACCCTATACTGTAACCACTTAGAATTCCTAGTGACAGCTAGGGACATTCTCCAAAATCACTAGTGAAAAAAAGTATTAAACACAAAAGATATGCTCCTGAACCTTTAAAAATTCACCTATAACTTGCCAGCAAATTTTCTAACCATTATTATTAATTGCGTTTGCATTTTCAGCATTAGTATGAAAAACTGTAAGTATAAATAATAATTTAATCATTCAGTGAAATTATGGTAATGTTAAAATTGTAAAATAATTTATGCAGTATTTCCTTAAAATAGAAAGTATGTGTGGAGTATGTTAATATAACATTATCCTATGAAGACTAAAATAGACTGATGCGTAATTAGACGTGGAAATCCAAGTAATTACAACCAGGGGAAAAAGCTGCTCTGCAGCTTCATTTTTTTTTCCTGTTCAATTGTGTCCAATTCTCAAACTGCCTGGACAAGTTCTTGCAGTTTTCTTGACAAGATTTTTTAGAAGTGTCTTGCCATTGCCTCTTCCTTAAGGCTGAGAGAAAGTGACTGGTTCAAGATAACCCAGCTAAAGGGTGCCTCAGGCAGCAGAACTCACAATCTCCCAGTTTCTAGTTTGATACCTTAACCACACCAAACTGTCACTTGCAGCTTAAATACCTAGATTCATATTCAATCTTTGTCAATATACAGCTTTCTGATATCCAAAACCAATCAATGAAAAGTTAACAGATACAAAAAAAGGTGCTTTGGGTTTCTTTGTCATTGATTCAGATTCAGTAGTCCTAACTACCAAAGTCCTAGCTGCAAATGATACCTAAGTTTACACAGTACATTTAACTGAACCTACTCCTTTTCTGTGTATGAACAGGTTTGTACATTTATTTGTTTAAAGTTTAGAAAACAAAATTCCCCATAAACGATCTGCTATATTATCTCAGATATCATCCTGATTCATTATTACAATAATTCCGCTGTGATAAAGCACACAGACTTAAGGTCATAACAATGTACACATGTGGCTGGTACAAATTTTAATGCATGTCTACAGTTTTAAGAGAACGCTTAGAATTAAACAATATTTCAGATTTCATATTAAGTTTACAATATTTGACATGGATCTTTTAGAAATATTTTCCGGAGAGAAATAATTATACACCAGAGAGAAATCTTTTTTCTACTATGTAAAGCAATACATTGTCAATGTCACTGGGATACTGATAACAAAGGCAGGACTCCTTTCTAGTCAGCAAAATTAAGAAGTGTTGTCCTAGAAAGCAATACATGGACATATCTGCTCTTACTTCAGATCTATTACACTGCAGTTTAAAAGCAAATCCTGTTGTACTAACTTTGAATAAAGAACTGGCCTTCTCATTCAAGTTAAAAGAGAATGATGGAGAACAAAATGGAGTTTTCATATCCAGGAATTGGAGATGTTCATCCTGTACTACAAAGCTTGCGGAAATGATCGTACACGAATAATCTGGGCTTTAAATGAAGGCTATTTCTAAAGTTAACTTCTCTGAGAACCGGCCCGATCTCCTTTTTCAACATAAAACAGGGATTCAGGCCCTTTCGAGAAGGCAAAGCGGGGATATCAGACTCCAGGCCCGAGATGCTGGAACCTTTCCTTCCTTCCTACCAATATCACAGGCCCCGCTGTGTGAATCGAGGGCAGGGTCAGGACTCGGGGCTCCAGGAAGGAAAGGGAGGGGAGGGGAGAATAATGGGCGCCAAGGACGCCAATGGTTTTGGGCTTCCAGGGGGAGACTTTTCCCCAGCCTTTCTGACCTGTCCCTGGGGTCGATCCACGAAGTCTGCCGGGTGTTGTGGTCGATGTAAAAGACGCGTCCGTCATAGTCCCTCGCCTCCTCCCAACCAGCGGGCAAAGGCAACTCCGAGCTCTCCCGGCCCCGCGGCCCACTGCCGCCGCCGCCACCTCCGATCGCCGCAGCGGGCACGACAGGAGGCGGCCCCGTCCCTGGTCCTCCGGGCGCCGTCGTCGCTGCCGCCTGTTGCTGCTGCTGTTGCTGCCGCCGCCGTCTCCGTCCTCCGCTGAGCCACGGCATGGCTCCACCGCCGCTCCCGGGCCGCAGCCTCGGCGGTAAGTTCTCTCCCTCCAGCAGCCGCTCTTCGGCCGCGGGGCTCCGAGTGCTCCGCGCCGCCGCCTCCAGACCTGACTAGCGCGCGGCCCAGCCGCGTGAGGCCACAACCAAGCAGGTCCGGCTGCAGCAGCGCCGCCGCCGCTCCGGATTCACCATTCTCTCGCCCTCCCGCCTCCGCCTCCGGCCGGACCCCGGGACCAGCCCAGCCGCTGCTGCCGCCGCCTCAGCTGTTCCTTCAAAGCGGCCCTGGCCCCGTCCGAGGAAGCAGCAGCCACCGCAAGCTTCCCGCCCTTCCTTCCTTCCTGCCTCCGCGACCGGCCTCCCCTAGTGGCTCAATTTCGCAGTTTCGTCGGCTCCCATCCCGCCGGCGCCCGCCCCGCCATCTTCCTTCGCTCCCTCCCTTTTGCCCGAGAACCACACCACCTCCCCCCCCGCCCGCCTGTCCGCCTCCACTCCGCCCTTCTGCTGCTGAGGCTGCGGCTGCAGCGTCGGGAGGCCCGCTTGGAAGCCGTCTGGGTTTCCCGGACAAGCCGGCGGGCTGGGGAGGCTCCCTCGGAAGAAAAAAGTTTTAAGATGTGGGGCTGGGAGGGGAATGAAAACTTTACTCGAGTCTCTCCTAACTTCGGCCTTGGGACCGCAGCGATGACTGACGGACGCGACTTTTTTAAAAAATGAGAGACTCCGGGTTTCCTTTCAGGACAAAGGAAAAGCGGAGCGGTTGTTAAATAACTCGCTTTCCTGGCTGTGTGTGCAAGCGGGGATACATTTTTGAACCCAACAAAATATTGGCACCCTCTTAGTCGAAGGTCTACCCTATATATAAGTCACGTGGAAAGAGTGCAGCTAACGAGTCCGACTGGTTTAAGGTGTGGTGCGCTTCAGATGTACTGAAGGTAAAAAAAATATGCCGAAGATCTGAACGTGGAACTGTGGAACATGCAAAAGTCACTTCAGTTAGGATAAACTCAGTTAGGATATTTTTTACTGCGGAGGCATTTTACATTACATTACATTTTCAGCATATTTAGCCGTCAGTCAGTTCAGTGGAATTTATGGTATTTTAAGTCGGCGCCTAACAATGAAATTGCTACAGGAGCTGCTCTCACTTTTATTTCTTGGAAGCTCATTGGTTGTTCCTTTTTTGGGAAGGCAATTTGGTTAAATGCATAGTGGATTTAATCCCCTTCTCTTGTCTTAATAACTGGTTTTAAAGTGGAACTAGTTCTTTAACAATCCTGGCCTTTGCTAAAGAAATTAGGCTGAATTTGTTTTTCTGAGGGTGAAAAAGTAATAAAAGTTTCCTCCTGTGTAACAGTATTTCTAAAGTATTGTAAGTATTTTCACACAGCCAGAAATTATTTAACTATTAATTATTTAAGTATAGAGTTATAAGTTGCATACATATAAACAATTGCATACAGTAATTGCTCCTAATTCAGTAGTACACAAATAATTGCTTGACATGTAAAGTATTGGGATACTCCAACCTTTTTTAAAAATACAATCCCAAATGTGTGTGTGTCTGTCTGTCTGTGTGTCTGTCTTTCTGTCTAATACAGTATAGATTTCCTAACAATGATCTCCACCTCTCTTCCTTTTCCTGGGACATTTTAAGGCAAATGCATTTTCCCAGTCTTTCCGGTCTTGAATTTCAAAGAAGAAAATTCCCAGCATTTTCCCAGTCTTTTTCCCATATAAGTAATAATGCAGGGAACCCCAAACAGTGTTAGAGCCAAGAAAATTGTGGACAGGAAGTTTGGCTTATTTTTTTCCCCTTTCTCTCTAAGTATACAATACATGAATTTCACAGGAAGCTTCTATTGATAATGACAAGGGTTTTTTATTTAATTGTATTAAATACATTATGCCGGTATGTATGTGTATTTTATTTAATTACATTACATGCATCTTTATACAAGCATCCTTGTTTAGCAACTGCCTTATTTAGCAACTGTTCACTATTTCATTGGTGATGAAAAAACAACTTTATGACCAATCCTCACATTTACAACCCTTGTCATAAAAACCCTTGAGTAAAGCAAAGGGAAGTTAAAGTAAGATTCGTAAGTACAGTTGAAATGTCATATAGCCACACTTTATTTAATGACTGAATTAAATAAATAAATAGTTGCTAAATGAGGACTGCCTATATGCTGTTTGGATGAATATTAAATAATGATTTGTCCACATATGTTGTAAAAGAAAGCTTATCTGGGATGTTCTTACTTTTTCACATGACTGTAAAATCTGTTGCATTTTTATATTAAGTTTCATATAATTCAAAATTTTTAAACTATATATAATTATATTTGTGACTCATTTCTACATACTGCAGGATAATTTGAGCAGAATGCATGTGTTATGAATTATCTCTTTACATGTTGTAATTTCAGGAACACAGATCAATAATTCTGGACAAAGAATGCCATTGAAACCATGCAGAAGAAGATAGGTGTTCATTGAAGAAATTAGAAGACATTTCATTCTAGTTCTCTAATGACTCTCTGATCTGTAATGTCATTATATAGTGCTTCCATATCATTGTCATTAATGAAAATGTTGAAGGGGTTGAATCTTACAAAATCACATTTAATATATCACCACTTTCATGAGAAACTGTTGACAAACATTGTGATTTGAAGCCAAGTCTGTATCCATTTGTCATGTCATCCAGTACATGCTTAACTAGTTTACAAATCAAAATGTCACGTGTTACTGTATTTTTAAATATTTTTTACAAATGAAATATTGTATGTATACAGCATTCCCCAATCTAAATTTCTTAATTTTGTTAAATAAATTTATTTTTACCTGTTCATTTGACCAAATCCATTGACTTTGGTAATTTGGTAATTATGACATTGTTTTCAAGGTGTGAATGGTTTAGTGTATTGTGTTTAGAATACCATGATTTGAACAATTTGTCCAATTTGTCCAAAAAGTCGTGTGTGTGTGTGTGTGTGTGTGTGTGTGTAAGATCATCGTTGTCCGTATTATACCTTGTAGGCCCATAAATGATGACCAGGCTTCATTTCAAAGAAGTTCTTCATGCAATGAAGATATGTTGTTGTTAGTTGTGAAGTTGTGTCCGACCCATCACGACCCAATGGACAACATTCCTCCAGGCCTCCCTGTACCATCTTTGATGCTATGTTATTTATCTTATAGAGGCAAATTGTCAAATGATGGGGAAAGATTAACTCATATAATCAGAAGTACATAGATCATAAACATTTTTGCATTAATATATGTGAAATAACCATGTACTTAATACAAACAGGATTTTATTAAGTTACAATACATATTTCCAACTATAGAAATATATATGTGTGTGAAAAAAACTAAAATTATTTCCAATTCTGTTAAAATGCTTTGATTTTGTTAAAAACTATGTTTTGAGACCAAAGTCAAAGTGCAGGTCTTGAATTTCAAAGAAGAAATGGCTTGATACCTGGATATCTAAAGAAGTGCCTTTTCCCATATCAGTCATCTCACTGATAAAAGGAACAGTTTAAATAAATGAAACATGGGGGTAGAGTAGATCACATTAGCAGGTGGTCCTTTAACACTTGATGTAATTTGTTTGATCCTTTTCCTTTTTACTAGGAATCTCTAATGAGTTGAGATTGTAAGAGGGATTTTACAGCTATAGCTGTAAAAATTGGCAAATTTGTAAATCTAGCACTAGTTTTCATATTATATTACAAGTTCACTTAAATATGGCTCATGTATAGCCATCTTTCTTTTGTTAATTACTTACTACTTGAAAACAGATCATGAGATGAGAAAGACAACATGGTACCCCCATTCCTCAGTTATTCATGTGAATAAGCTCTGTACAATAAATATCAGGCTCCCCTCCCTCTGAATTTTTCATATTGATAAATGTTGTACCACTTTTTGATTAATAATTGTATTTTACATAGAGTGTATACAAAGGACTAAATGTATGCTGTTTAAAGAGAAGTAACAATGTAGCTGAAAAATCAAGACAGGTAACTGTGTCTTTTAAAGCTTTCCTGTGCTTATATGTGAAATATAAATAGCAATAGCACTTAGACTTACATACCGCTTTACAGTGCTTTACATCCCTCTCTAAGTGGTTTACAGAGTCAGCATATTGCTTCCAACAATTTGGATCCTCATTTTACCCACCTCGGAAGGATGGAAGGCTGAGTCATCAACATGGAAACATTGTAATTAATATATTAAAGTTGTATGCATACTTCTTCTCAAAATGAAGTTACCTTTATTTTCTACCTTTATTTAATATTGCTCCTTTTGAGGCAAAATTGCCATGTGAAATGGCAGCACCTAACTAACCTCTGAGCTCAAAAGCTAAGCAAGTTCAGAACAATCTGGTTAGCTTGGAAAAAATCCTAGAAGGCAGTATCAAATTGTTTCCATATTGTTGCCAAGAAAACTATTTGGAAACATCCATAAAATGATGCGGTGTCATTCTCAAAATGGGCTAGATTTTACTTCTAAAACCAAATTCGCATTACTGATTAACAAGACAATCTCAAAGTTTGTACTACAATTATATTATTTCTACACCTGGGTTTTTTTCCCCTCTTCCCTCCCTAAAAAACTACCTGCATGGATTGTTGTACTAATAAGAGGATTTTCATAATATAAAGAAGATTTAACATCAGGCATTTTCTAGTCTAAAACTGGTCATAACATGCCAAATTACTACATTGCAATATCCATTTTTCTAAAACAATATAAATTTCACATGTGGACAAACTAGTCCATTTGGCAAATTTTGCTATAACAATTCAAGAAGCTAATATTGCCTTTGTAAGTTTCTCTTGTTCTTCATATATCCCAGTTCTACAAAGAAATTCCTCCTTTTAGATCACGGGTGTTCTGTCCTGTGATGTTTCACGACATTTTTTTTCCTTTGCAGAGTTTGGGTGGGCGTGGCCTGTGTGTGATGCATCCAGCCTGCAGGCTGTCAGTTTGACACCCCTGTTTTAGATGAATACAGTTTAGTTTTTCTTTCATTTATAACATATCCACCTTTGTTTACAATTGACATACTGGAATATTGATATGATGGAATTTCCTCTTTCCTTCCCTCCCCTTCAACCTTCATAAAAAAGCTTTCAAACACTTGTCTAGATCTTGAAGAATTAGTATTGTTTATAAAGTTAAAACACATGGCTCATCCATGAAAAAGTAGGTAAACAGAATGAAATATAAGAAAGGAAACAATAAAATATATGGAAATCTTTATGGATGGGTAGTAAGGACAATCAATGGCTTAGCAGTTTTTAGTCACATTTAATCACCAAACTAATATAGCCACTCGCATTTATGACATTAAAAAGTTATTGTATTGGGTGGATTTGAATATGGCAATAAAAAATTACACATTAAACATGCTGCCATGGTCTAA